ATTTTAATCTAATTATTGCTATATTTAGGCTTAACACTGCCATTTTATGTGTTTTCTTTCCTATTCACTCTCTATTTCTATTGAATATTCTTTAGAATTTCATATTGATTTATCTTCGGTGTTTTTTAGTGTACCCTTTGTAAAGATTTTTAGTGGTTTCTCTAGGTATTATATTAGATACTAAATTATTCATAATAAATTATCACAATTTACTGTTAAGTCATTTTACCAGTTAAAGTGGAATGTAGAAACCTTACCTTCCTATATTTCCCTTTACCAGCCCCTGTTAATAATGTAGTTGTTTTAAATATTTCTTCTACGTACATTTAGAACCACACTAAATAATGCTATAATTTTTGCTTTACCTCTCAAAAATAATTTTAAAAACTCAAGAGGAGAAATAAAGTCTATTGTAATTACCCATATTTTCGTTTGGTGTGCTCTTTCCTCCTTAATAATGTTCCAGGGTTCTTTCTTTTATTCTTTCTTTTCTTTTTAGAGAACTTCTTTTGATCATTCTTTTAGAGCAGGTTTGAGGGTGACAAATTCTTTTAGTTTTCCTTCATCCAAAAATGTCTTGATTTCCTTTTTATCCCTAAAGGATATTTTGCCTGGATATAGGTTTCTGGGCTGATAATTCTTTCTTTTAGCAGTTTAAAAATATTATGCAACTTCCTTCTGGTCTCTGTGGTTTCTAATAGAAATCCACTTTAATTGTAATTGTTTTTCTCTCACAAGTAAAGTGTAGGGATTTTGTTGCTGCTCTCAAGAGTTTTTCTTTGGTTTTCAAAAGTTTGACTCATACGTCTTGGTGTGAATTTCTTTGGATGTGTCCTGTTTGGAGTTTGCTCAGCCTTCTTGAATCTGTAGGTTATGACTTTCCTCCTATTTGGCAAGGTTTCAGTTATTATTTCTTCAGGTACCTTTTAGTCCCTGCTCTCTTTCTTTGCTCTTTGTGAAACTTCTATGACAGGATTGTTATATTTTTTTCTGATAGTTCCAAAGTTCCCCGAGGCTCTATTCACTTTTTTGTTTTAGTCTACTTTTTAAAAATTGTGGTAAAAACATACATAACATAAAATTTAACATTTAAACTCTTTTTTGAGTGTACAATTCAGTTCCTTTAAAAGCATTCACATTGTTGTGCGACCCTTGACCCTGTCCATCTCCAGAACTTTTCTGTCATCCAAATTGAATCTCTCTCCAGATTAAACAACACCTCTCTATCCCTCCCTCTTCCCGGGTGCTGGTAACCACTATTCCACTTTCTTTCTCTACAAATTTGATTATTCTAGGTACTCATATAAATGGAATCATACAATATTTGTTCTTTTGTCTGGCTTCTTTCATTTAGTGCAATCTTTTCAAGGTTCATCCACGTTGTAGCATATATCAGACTTTCATATCTTTTTAAGGTTGAATGATATTTTATTGTATGTATATACTACATTTTGTTTATTCATTCATCTGTTGAAGGACATTAGACTTGTTTCCACCTTTTGGCTATTATGAGTAATGCTGCTATGAAAATTGGTGTACGAATACCTGTTTTAGTCCCTGCTTTCAGTACTTTTAGGTATATACCTAGATATGAACTTGCTGGATCATTTGGTAGTTCTATGTTTAATTTTTTGAGGAACTGCCATACCATTTCCCACAGCAGCTGTACCATTTTATATTGTGTTAATCTGTGTATAGAATGGGTACTTTTCATGTTCCGTCTCCAGTCCACTGATTTCTTTTCTTTTGTCCTTTCCATTCTGCTGTTAAGCCCATCCACTGAGTTTTTTAAATTTTTGATTATTGTATTTTTTAAGTTCTAAGTTTCCATTTGATTCTTATTCGTATCTTTTATATCTTGGCTGAGACTTTGAATTGCTTTGCTGAGACATTTTAAAAATTTATTTCAAGTGTGTTTGTAACTGTTCACTGAAACATTGTATGGTGGCTGCCTTAAAATCTTTGTCAGGTAACTCTAACATCTCTGTTATCTCAGTGTTGGCATCTGTTGATTGTCTTTTTCTCATTCAGTCTGAGATCTTCCTGGTTCTTGATGAGATGAGGAGTGATTTTTAAACTGAAACAGACTTTTGGGCATTTTGCTATGGAACGCTGGATCCTGAGACCTTCTGGTTTAGCTGACTTCCTCTGACACAGCTCTAGCAATGGAATGAGGAGGGAGTCTTTCTTGTTACTGACCCTTGAGGATACAAATAGAAGTTCCACATTCAGCCTCCAGTGACTCCTTCAGGGGTGGGAATATAACTCTTTGGGAATTAGATAAGTAATGGGAGTTCCAGCTTCCACTAGGCCTCTCCTGGATAAGATGGGTAGGAGTGCCTCATTATTGCACTCTTTGTTTCCTTTGCTGACACCACTGAGCAGGTGGCCTCATTACCATTGTGATGAAATCCTGACTTCCCACTAGGCCTTCTCTGACATCACTTGATTGGTGGACTGGATGGGTACTTCATTACTGTCTAGCGAAGGTGGAAGTTCAGTCTCCCCACATGGTCTCCACTGATAGAGTGCAGAGAATAGACTTTTGTTGGAGCTTTTTTGGTCTGTGCCTACTGGTGTTTCAGGTTGTTGGACTTAGCGTCAGCTAGACTTCAGCTCCAAGTCTGGGATATATGTGGATACATATAGAAACCTGGGAAATCACCAGTGTGTTGTTTTTGGGTCCCAATTAGCCTAGCCAGTATTCCTTCTTCTTTGCACCTTTCAGAATCTTCTTATATTTTCTTTACAAATAACGTTCAGGGGTTTAGTTGTCCATTCTGGGAGGAATAGGGAAAAATATTTCTACTTCATCTTCCCAGAAGAAGTTTGGATTTAGAATACAGTTTTAAGATGGAGCCTATAGGATGGATCAGAGTGGGATGTGAGGGAAACAGAGGAGTCAGAGATGACTCCAAGGGTTTTGGTCTCATCAACTAGAAGAATAGAGCTGTCATCAAATGAGATAGGGAAGACTGTGGGAAGAACATTTTGGGGAGGGAAGGGGTGGTATTTGGAGCTCAATTTTGGAAAGGTTAAGTCGGAGGTGCCTGTTGGACATTTAATTGGAGATGCTGAATAAGCAGGTGGACATGCTAGTGTGGAGTTCAGTGGAGAGGTCTGAACCTCTGAGACATAAATTTGGAAATCATCAGCATACACATGGTGTTTAGAGCCTTGAGAATGGATGAGATCACCAAGATAGGGAGTAAAGAGAAGGAAATGAGGATATACAAGCACCGTGCTGTTAACATTTAAAGGTTGGAGAAGGGTAGAGAAATCAGCAATGGTGACTGAGAAGAAAGGAACAGCCAGTGAGACAGAAAGGAAACCAGAAATCCAAGTGAGGGAAGTGTCATTGCTTCTAGGCCCTCCCTTCCTAGTTAGGGTGATCATATTGATTTCCTATTTCAAATTCTACGTCATGAGTCTTCTCTCTCTCTCTCTCTCTCTCTCTCTCTGTATTTGTACATCTTGGCTCTGGGATATTTCATGCAGAGGGCCCATGTGCACTGCCTTGGTTCAGATTAAAAGAACCCCTGTAGTGTGATTAGCACACATGACTGGAAAACTCTAGTAGAACATTTCTAAGGACAAAAAATTGAAAAGATATTTTAAACTTTACTTAGTAGTTTTATTAGTGGTAGGATTGACATTGTGATTTTGAAACAAGACTATGTTGTATGTGTTGTAGGACAAAGCAATTAATAAATTTATTATTGTTTGCAAGTAAGCTGGATGTTTTCTGATGCTCATCATTCCAGCTATCCAATGATAGGCACACACCTCCAGTTTTGGTTCTTCCATGAGGGATTTTCTTTCTTTTTCCTTTTTCTTTTTGGTTATCTTCATATTACTGATTTCTAGTATAATTCTACTATAATCAACCTTCAATACTTCTAAAATTGTAGAGACTTTTCTGTGGCCCAGAATGTGGTCTATTTTGATACATATTTCATGTGCACTTGAAAAGAATGCATATTAACTTTTTATTTTGTATCATTAGGAATTTGTCAGGTGTAACTATTTTTGTTCCCGGATTGTAATACAACACCAGACACTGCCAACAAAAACAACAAAAAACTTTAGGGCAGGACATGCCCTTCATGGTGTAGCTACTTCATCAGTTCTGCAGATATTTATTGAATGAGTAAACATTTCAAAGCAACGAATAGGAAAAAAGTCATTTGGAAGCAGAGAAAGAATGTTTTAAACTCCTTATTTAAAACGGTTTTCTAAAGCTAAGAATTATTTTACAGACTCGAAATGTATATTTCAGAGAGCCTGCGTCATAAGTCAATGTGATTTTTAGGTAATATGTTCTGTAACATTCTTCAACGTTTTACGTAAAATAACTTCTTTGGTACTTTACTCAGGTAAATCCTACATGAACCTAACAGCGACAAAGGGCCACTAGTTATGGGGATCCTTATCTAAGTTCTCATGTTTTAATTAAATTTCCGTATGTTCTAAGAGTTTAGAGACCACTATCCAGAATTACATAAGACAAACTGCAATATCAGCTCGCCACCATTTAACCGAATGACGCTGGACAAATCACGTCTCAGTTTCCTAATACGTGTAATAGAAATTAGTACAGCCCTTCATAGTTTACAAAATTGTGAATGTGGCTTAACAAAAAATATTAGAAGTGGAAGCATTTTCACGCGTGAGACGCTAGAAAAATGCGACCTATAATGCTATTATGATCAACTGCCTAACGGAGACTGACTAAACATAAAATAGAAAATTTTTTAAAAGTCTACTTTTTCTTAAAAAATTCGGTGGGAAAGCAGCCACAAACGCATAATGCGCATGCGCAAAGGATTCTATCGGGCGGTAGAAGACGTGACGAGGAGAAAAGAAGGGAGGCAGGGCTCCACGCTAGCTTTTCCTCTCAGCTCCGCCCCTCGAACACCCGACCGCTCTTGACGTCAAGTGACGTTATACTTCCGCTTCCGGTTACTCACGTTTCTCTTTCTTCCTGTCCGGCTGAAAAGATGGCGTCCCGCAAGGAAGGCACCGGCTCTGCCACCCCATCTTCCAGCTCCACCTCCGGCCCGGCAGGGAAAGGCAAAGGCAAAGGCGGCTCCGGAGATTCGGCCGTGAAGCAAGTGCAGATCGATGGCTTGGTGAGTGGAGTTCTGTCTCCCCCGGCACACGTGGGCAGCGCAGTTCCCTGCCCCGTCCCGCCATCCGCGCTTCCAGGCAGCCTCTCCTCTGGACTTAGTGAGGGTGGGCCGAGGTTTTCCCCTAAAATCCTCCTCTTTTATCTTCTCGTTTTGTTCGGGAGACGCAACAGTCTTCTGTGTCTTCTGACGGGGGAGATAAGGGCTGAGAAAGGGGATAGAAGCTAGGGTTGTGTGTGACGGATTCTTGGGGTCTTGTTTTGAGATGTCAGGGAGGGGAGAGTTGGAGGAAGAGTCTTATGGAGACAGGTGGGTGACGGAGGTGTAGAGAAGAAGCGAGGACTCTAGTTTAGGGCTTTTGCGAGGAGAGAGTAAGGTGAACTTCATTGCTTCTCTGTTGGAATCTGACATGAGTAACTTCCCAAGTGGAGATGCACTTTGTAGCCACTCTTGAGCCTGTGTTGCAGCGCTTTACCTCAAACCGCGCGCTTGCAATAAACATCTTTTATGTTGGCTTCTCCTTTGCTTATCTGTGAATGTTGGCGTGCCTCAGGATTTGGGTTTCGTCTTCCTTCTGTCCACGCTCTGCTTGGCATAGTGTAACAAAGTATAAAAGCACACCTCCGGAGCCAGACTGCTTGAGTTTGAATCTCAGCTCTAAAATTAGCTGAGTAACATTGAGCAAGTTAGTTATTCTCTTTGAACGTCATTTTCTTCATCTGACTTGTGTTGAGGATTAAAATTCGCTGAATATGTCTTCATAACTAGTACAATATCTGGGACAAAGCAAGCTACCATTTTATTTTAGCTGTTGCTCTTACTGTTTGTAGTCGTTATAGGAGTAGACTCTCTTTAAGGTATCGTCATCCTTTCTCATGGCTTTAAATATTCTTTATATTCTCATAATTCTTAGGTTTATATTTCTTGCCAGACTTGGCTCTTCACTGCCGCTCTTGAATATGCAACTGTCTGCCTGACATCACTATTTGACTATTTTATCGGCACCTCAAATTTGACATGTCCAAAATAAAATTAGTGACTTCCCTTCCTCCTTCCTTTCTCCCCCTCCTCGGTCTTATCTCAGTCTTTCCCATCTTAGTAAGTGGAACTACCATCTATCCATTTGAACAAGTCAGAAAACCTAGGCCTTAACCTACAGTTGTTCTTGTTTTTTACCCTCAACTTCCAGTCCCTTAGCAAATCCTGTTGGTTCCACTTCCAAAATATATCACATTCATCTGCTTTGCCTCTATATGCCACCAGCTGTATCCACTTACAATAAAATACAGACTTCTTACCACAGTTCAAGGTCCTGCTGTTCTTGTCTCTTTCCCCATACTCACCTTATACTTTCTTCTAGGTTCCAGTCACAATGACCTTTCAGTTCTTTGTTTTCTCTGCCTGAAATACTTTCTCAAATATTTCTTCCTTCTCAGTGGCTTCTCTTGATCTTTTATGTCTTGGTCTAAAGGACACCATCTCAAGAAAGACATTGCCTAACAAACTTGTCAAAAGTAGACCCCTCCCCACCACTCTCCATCACGCCACCCTATATTTCCTTCATAGCAGTCTTCCCTACCTGTAACTATCTTGTTTGTTTTCTTGTTTTTCTCTCCCACCAGAATGTAAGCAACTGAGGGCAGGCAGGGACTAAGCTTTCTCACCTGTTATGTTCCCAGTACTGAACCTGTTAACTGACATAGATGGGATAAATGAATGAATAAAAGATTTCATTTTATTTTTGTGTTATTCCTAGTTCATGTCTTGATATCTTCTTTTATAGATTATTTAAATGCATCTTGTCTTATTCTCTTAGCCCTCTTCAGTCCATCCTTCATACTTTTATTAAAACATTCACTTAATGTAGAAGTTCAGATCTTGTTAACTTCCTTCCTGAAATGTTTTCACTGACTTTGCAGTGAATTTAAGGCCCACCAAGATGTTGTCCTTGTTTTTGTGTTTGGATTTATTTCCTACTATTTCCAACCTTCACAGGAACTATACATTCCAGCCACACAGGACTATTTCCTTAGCCTGATGTTTAATCACATTTGTTCTTGGCACCTTGATAGTGGCCAGGACCAATTTTTCTTCTTGTATTTTTGAACTTTTCGTTTCCTGCCTTTGGTTCTGTTTCATCAGTTCTTCTGTATCTTTAATATTACCTTTCCCTTATCATATGAACATTGTCAGGACTTTCCTATATTAAAATGTTCAGTTCTCTCTCTTTTTACTTAGCACTCTGTGTTCCGTCTTAGTCCCCACTTTTTCCCTCTTGAAGTCAGTGGTTAGAGAATCATCTCTATTTGTTGTGGTCTGTTCTTTGTTTGATTCACTGCTATTAGAATCTGCCACCAATTCTCTGTCTTAGTTTTTAAAAAGATCATTGATAGCATTAGCAGAGAACAGTAAAAAGTTTCAAAATATATATGCAAAATATTGTCTAAAATACATAATTTAAGTAATCAGAAAATAAACATCCAGTTACCTATCATTCAACTTGCAAAATAGAATGTTATGAGTACCTTTGAAGCCCTTTCTCCTATTTCATTTTTTCCTCCCATCCCTTCTCCCCACCATATCATCACTGTTGTGAGCTTTGTTTCCGTGATTTCTTGGTTTTCTTTGTAGTTTCACCGCAGAGTATTCCTAAACAATTTGCTTAGCTTTGCCTTTTTTTTTTAATCAATAGCTAATTGCTCCAACATCACTTAATTGTCCATGTTTCCCTCTTGACTTAAAATCACATACATGAGTGTGTCTGTATGTGGCATAGAATTTCTTACTCTCCTCCTTTAATCTATGTGCACTTTCCTAAGCCAATACTGTGCTGCTTTATCTATCGTGACTTTATAACATGTCTTAATATCTGGTGGGATAAAACACCAATCAGATGAGGAACCACCTTTCAAAACTCTCTTGGCTATCTTTGTGCACATCCAGATGAATTTTGGAATTGTTATCTTGTCAAGATCTTCCCAAAGATTTTGTTTTCTTATTTTCTAATCAGACACATTTTCCTTAACCAAATCGGGTGCTTAAAGGATCCTTCATGATTCAACTAGAAGCTCCTAAAATTGAGTTCTAGGGAGGAAATAAAAAGTAATAACAACAAAAACCCTCATCACAATCACTTTTCTTTCAAATGCTTAATAAACATGATCCCCTTTTTTCCTTTTAACAATGCTGCTAGCTGCTAGGGATGTTTTGCTAAGCTCATCTTAACGTTAAGAAACTGAAGTTTAGGGAGCTTTATTGGCTAAGTTACCCAGTTGGAAGGGGCGTGAAGCAGGGATTATAACACACTCTCAAACTGGAACTTTTAACCCCTTTAGTTTATCTCCAGAGCAGTGGTTCCCAAAGCAGTGGACCAGCAGCGTCAGAATCACCTGGAAACTTGTTAGAAATGCACATTCCCTGGCCCTCCCCCAGACCTACCAAGTCAGAAACTTTAGGGGATGGAGTCCAGCAATCTGAGTTATAAAAGCCTTCCAGTGGTTCTAATGCAGGTGAAGTTTGAGAACCACTGGTCTAGAATCTAAAGACGAAGGATTAATAAGAGGGTACAAGAAATATTGTGTTGGGGGGACGCAAACCAGAAAAGAATAGCACTCATTGAAATGAGCAGGAAGAAATGCTACAGACATTCCACTTTCTATTAAGTTACTGTGGGGCTGTGATGACAACAGTCACTACATGGTTCAGAGGATAAAGAGTAAAACAAAAAGTGCTTAGCTAAAGGAGTCCCTTTACTTTTCTGATGAGGAAAAACTGATTAACTATTGAACTAGAGTGTATAAACATCTGTTAAAAGAACAAAAATTCAACCAAGTAAGGCAGCATCTAGCTTTACCTGTTTATATTAATTAATATGAATGAAATTTGAATTAAATCATAGTATATGTTCTCCTGTGTCTTGAGTCATACATATGCATATCTCACACCACGATTTTGAGATTAGTCCATTCTAGAGAATCTCTGCTTTTTTGTTTTTTACTTATTTTCTTTACTTTATAGCATTTCATTGTATGAATATAACATAATTTTCCTCATCTGACTGTTCATGGACAATTACATGGCTTGTTTTCCTTGTGTGAAACAGTATCTCTCAATAACCTTTTGATTATTCATTCCAGTAGACTTGCGATTGTTTTTTTTTTAAAGATTTTTAAATTTTTTTCCTTTTTCTCCCCAAAGCCCCCCAGTACATAGTTGTGTATTCTTCGTTGTGGGTCCTTCTAGTTGTGACATGTGGGACGCTGCCTCAGTGTGGTTTGATGAGCAGTGCCATGTCCACGTCCAGGATTCGAACCAACGAAACACTGGGCCGCCTGCAGCGGAGTGCGAACTTAACCACTCGGCCACAGGGCCAGCCCTGCGAATGTGTGTTTTAATGTTCCCTGTAGAGCGTCAGGGCTCACTATATCCTTTTGGAATGGAGGAGTGGATCTTCATTGTAGTCATGTGGTCTCATTGTTCCTAGATAAGATCAAGCTAATTCTTCATGTTGAACTTGTAAAACCCACCTCTTTCCCTAAACCAGTTTGAATCTTACCTTTCTTATGTACAGCATACCTTTTATATGGTCCCTGGACCAGCTAGATAAGCAGAATTGGCCTCACTTTGTAGCTTTTTAGAATCGCAGAAATACAGTATTTCAGAGTCTCAAGCCCCTCTCCTGACCTACTGTATCAGGTGATTTATAGCAAATTAATGTTAGAGAAGTACTGCTCTGGTCCACGTTGATCTCTTCCTTTCTCTATTCTTTTTATGATGACAGCTTGTATTGCTTGTTTTGGCATGTGATCATAGACTGTTAACTAATGGTTTACTGTTTATGTGTTTTTCCTTCCTTACTGAGATGATAATCGGAAGACTAAAGTGTAAAACATTTCTGTCTTCCATAGGTCCAGTGCTTAAAACCCATTGCCATTGAAATTTATTACCTTTTAAATTTTGTTTTCACCTTTGTGTAAAACGTTATCTTACTATTTAAAATTGTT